CTCTTTGGTCCTCTCGAACTCGTTTTGCAGCGCCTGTTTAGCGATCTCCACCTCGATGATTTTCTGCCGGAGCAGCTCGTTCTCATCCTCGGCTCGGCTGCGTTTGTCCTCCACGCTCTCCAGCTCGTTGTGCAAACGCACCGACACATCTTTGGCCACCTGAGATCACAGGGACAAAATGCTGAAGGATAAACACATGCAGTGCAAAGACATAGAACAGAATGGATATATACATGTTTTATGATATGTGCCTTTAACACACACAATATACTATTTATTTTATTTATTTATATACTGTATATCAAGCAGATATCACTTAATAAAACATCCAAACGTATTCAGCTGACTGACTACTATACTAAAACAGTATAGTGTTAAAACATTAGTAAAAAAAAAAAAATGGAATTAAATACTTTTGAGGCAACACAAGCAATTTGGAGACGTCTGCTTGAGACTTTTAATTACATATTATGGATTTAAAGATCAATATTATTCTCCATAAGAAAATCTATCATTATTTGCAGAACTGAAACATTTGTAATGAAAAAGCATGACCACATTTCTGTTAATAATTACATTGTGGATTTATTGTAGATAAACGATTCACTTGGAGCCGAATGTTTTCCGCACACTGAGAAGCTACTGTGAGTCATTACTCTAAGAAGATACATTTCATTATTCTGGGATAGTGGAGAGCTTTAATGTCTTTAAGGTGCTGTTTTGTGTTATGTTAATCCTTTATTGTCAAATTAAGACTAAAGTTGTTCTTGTTTCACAGCAGCTCCATTTGTAACATCGACAAAGACAAATATTTAAGATAGGAAACAAGGCAACATTTATCATATTACATTCACTGAAGATACCCAGATTTAAGACCCTTAAATCTGGGTATCTATTTTTGGATCTCGCACACACAAATTGTAAAGCTTAACTTGGTAGCAGTGCTAAAATGGTGATATTCTAGCATGTAATGAATCTGAAAACATTGGATGCAAACACAGCAGGTAGTTGGCAGACACACAACACACACACACACACTCACACACACACACACACACACACACGCACACACGCACCTTCAGGTCCTGCTCCAGGCTCCGCAGCAGCTCTCCGTCCACGTGTCCGGTCTGAGCGACCCGCAGGCTCTTCTGCTCCGCCTTCCTCAGCCGGTACTGCAGGATGCGGCAGTTCTTGTTGGAGCGGTCCAGGTCCCGGCGCAGCTCCTGCAGCTGGTACACCTCCTCCTCCAGGTAGCTGTCCCGCACCTCCTCCATCTCCGCCCGCAGCTCGTCCATTTCATCCTGAGCCAGAGAGGAGCAGACACTTTAATACCACATCCACACTGCATTAATGGGTAATGATGTTGATATCTAACATCATGTAGTTAATAGTTTTTCTTTTCTCAAGCAAATGAAAGTTTGTATTCTTTGCTGCAGACAGTCATCATACTTTGCAAAACAGATGCAAAAAAGGGTCAATAGGTTTAGACTTGGGTTTGTGTTTACATAATATATATACTTTTAGGTTATATCCCTATGAATCGTGTACTGTCCAATTACGATACGATAATACTTTAATGGTCAGATATAGTCTGAAATTTGACTTGCATCACAGCAGCTCCATGTGTAACATCATCATAGACAAATATCAAGACACAATAACTGAAAAACAAACAACACACATTTAACATAACAGCACAATCACTGAGAGAAAACATGCTCAAGACCCTTTAGCGTGCATTAGATCTGGGATTTAGTTCTGTATTTCTGTAGCAACAAAACTTTTGTATGGACGCAAGAGAAAATACTTTTTAACAGCTCCATAAATGTTGTATTTGTGAAGCAGCTTTGGTGTTTAAGAAATACTGAACTAAAATGAGTTTTTTCCTGAGGGCGACTTCACAGAAGAGGCCTTAAGGATCAGCAACAGCAAAAGGGAATAAGGTTAGAAAGTGATCTGAATCCAGAAGTTAAATTATGAAACTTCCCCTCTAAGTCTTTGCTTCTTCATACTCGTAAATGATGCATTAAAAGAATGTATTTTTGAAGGTGGCACCAGAAAAAGCTAATGAAGTGTCTAAAATGTTCAGCTGAGTTTGAATGTGCTCTCACTTTATATTTCATGGCAAACTGCCAGTTGGATTTGAATATTTTCTCTGTCAAAGTTTTGACTTGAGGTGCCTTTAGGTGACCAAATATGCTGTCCTCAAAAACCCAGCAATGTCATGGAAATGATTAAGTTTGAGGATGCTTTGGGCGAATGTGTTGTGTAAGAGGAAAGTCTGACCGGACAGTGATGTTAGGAAAAAGCTCAGAGGGTCACACACCGACCAACTGATGTAACAAGACAGGGTTTGTCAGAAATACTGATGAAATGTTCTGTATTTCATATTTCTTGAAGGTTTTTTTTGGACGAAGCTTCTGTGTTAATTCATTTGAAATAGTAAACAGGAAATGAAGATACTTCTCTGCTTCATTAAAAAGTAACATGGTTTACAGTAAACACTGATGTATTAATCACAGCATAGGGGATGATACTTTTTCTCAATTCAACAACATAAAAACCTTTCAGGCATAAAGCTATTATAAAGGAAATGCAATATAATATAATATACCTTTGTAGATTATACTCTCATATGATTACATACCAGCTCCAGTAATGCACGTACTCTCAGTGATGATGATGTAACATCGCTAGTTGGCTTTAAGCGTCTTATCTCTTGGATTGGATGTATTCACATGACCCATCAACATGAAACTACACGGCATGATTGAGGGAAAGTAAAAAGGTTTATCTGTACTACTACGACAGTTTGTGCGTTATCCTCGAGGGTCTCAGTTTGCCGCCAACATGGAGAGGCTCATGAGATTTCCCCTGGGAGGGAGATTCACAGGGCTTGACTGGCACCTGATGAAAAGGCAATTGTATCCTGAAGAGGGTGGGGGGGGGGGGGTTGAGTGAGAGTGTCAATTCATGAAAATTAAATCCATCCTCATTTGGGAAGGCACAGAGCACATTGTTATCTGAGGAGGACCCCGGAGGAAGGAGCTAATGTCCTCCAATCGATGTCCAGGTTAACAGCAGAGCCAGAGGCAGAGATGCATCCTGGGAGCAGGTACATTCAGAGCATCACTGATGTTTAAGGGGAGTGTGTACACCGAGTCATCATAATTGGTTGTCTCTTTAAGAGGGATAAGAGTGGATATCTTTATTGAGCAGCTGCTGTCATTAATTATTTTCCAGATTGACTTGTCATTATTTTTCTCTGGGAAATGTCAAAGAAAATGTGAAAGGATTATCATAATTTCTCACGAGTCACGACCAAAGGTGACGTCTTCATTTCAGTTTTTTTTACCAACCAAAGATAATCTCTTTGCTAACTAGGAAGGAAAAGAAAAGCTGTCAATTTTAACATTTGATAAGGTAGACCTAGAGAACTTAAAGTCATGTTTTCATAAGAAAGTACTCAAAGATACCTGTCTTTTTGTATATGATCGGAGATGAATTATCTTTTTAGTTCAGGACAAGTTCCATCACTTCGATTTTCTACAATGTTCTTCTAACTACTTACAGACAATGCTATTACTTTCTTTATCACAAAACTGTTTAGCCGTTTAATTGATAATAACCCTGCAAATGTTCTTGATTCATCGAAAGAAAAAGAGATCACAAGCTCATAGACCTGAGAGAAACATAATGACATTTCTGTTATGAATATCCCACTGTCAAAACCAAACAATAGTACATTCACAACAATATAAAATAGAGAATAATATCAAATATTTGCAGTTGAGAAGCTGGCAGTAATAGCTTCTGTTTCAACATTGATTCAAATTGATAACGAGAATAGTGGATAACTTTCAGTCAATGGACTACTCGATTTATCCCTAATCGTTACAACTCTTAAAGAATTTCTAAGCAGCAGCCCCAAAAGTCAATGTCATGGTGTTTTGCAACCAAGCAGAGACAATAACAGAGGTTGACATCCTCCTTATGAGGGGTCAAAATAAAACAAACATGTTTTTCAAGCAGCAGCTCTGACGTATAGCTGTGGTGGGGACTCCCAGATATGTTATTCCTTGGGGGGATGGGGGAGGTAGAGGAGTTCACCTCAGCGTCCCAGCTGGCAGACTGACAGGCAGGCGGGTGTTTGAACCCCACACACACATGAGACATCTGACTGTTATCAAGTCCTGTGGGATAAAGCCATTACAGCCAGAGCCAGTAAAGCTGATTAACTCTCTTGTGTTTGCACCGAGCCGCAGAGAGACACAGACATGCGTGATCAAGTTTGGAATAATACTCGGAGCAACATGCAAATAAACCGTCTGAAAAAAAGAATCTGCAAGATTTGTTTGCCGCATTATCTGTTTGCTTCCCCTCCCCAACTTAAGGGGATAGCCTACTTAAAGGAGGGGGAGGGGGATCCTGAATGAGATCTTCAAACAGGATCTTCATGCAATATGTCAAAAATAACGATGTTGGAAAACATAGCAATGATTAACTGCATCCATGAGGACAATGTATTCACATCATTACAGGAGATGATGTTCTCTCTGTGGCCCAGATACAAATTGAGGAGGGGGACTTGGGCAAAAAAATGTCAGTCAGAATAGACTTTGGTGACTTGACAGCAATATAATTGTAAAAAGGAAAGTCTAAGAAAAAGCCAGGGAGAAGCCATTTTCAATAAAACTCCCATCAATAAAGATCAAACCCACAGGGGAGGGTAGAAGCCGACATGATGGATGGAGAGTCGACACAGGGGCATCATGGGGATGGCAGCTGAGGCGTTTAGATTTTAATAATTTATACACTTCTTAGAATATGCTTTGAATAAGTGAGCAGGTGAAAGTTGCTCAAGGACACTTTAAAAACAGGTGATGGTGGGGATTGAACCCTCAACTGTGCTGTTCAAAAAATGACAGCTGTGAGAAACAGATGCTTCTGGAGTAGGGATTAAATAAGACTGCAACTGAAAGAAGGGTCTTTTTAAAAGTGGATGTTGTGTTAATATAAAACATATGCAACAATTAAACATAGTAGCCCTGTCACACTTTATGATACACTTTCTGTTGTCCACCTGGATGAGTATTTTTGTAAATAGTCATTTTCTATTTTTCTCTTTAAGATTTCATGCATGCCAAATAATGCATATGTTGCTATGTTTTGCTCTTTACTCTTGCTGTAAGGTTGTAATTGTCCCCTATGTGGGATGACTAAAGGTATTATGAGTCTGGTAACTTGAGATATGATCACCATACCTTGAGGTAGTCGTTTTCGGATCGCAGGTCCTCCACCTCCCGCAGCAGGTCCTCCTCGGCAACATCCTTGGCGGCTGGCAGTCTGAGTTGTGCGGCTGATGAAGATGAGGAGGGTTTCTCCTGCCGGTGTTTCTCTCCGTGCTGAGCCTGAGACATGCTTCCCTTGGCGGCGGAAGCCTCGATTGTGCGCGGTGGAGCTTCGGTCGCCTCTTCCCGCAGCGGATTATCCCCTCCCAGCTGATCCCGGTCACTGGAGCCGGTCCCGGACTCAGCGTCGCTACTAGCGGCCGCTGCCTGCCTCTGCTCGTCGGACAGCGGCTCGGAGGGGCAGTCCGACAGGTCCGAGCTGCTATCCGTCTGGCTGACCAGAACCAAATGTGCACCGGTCGGTACCCGGATTGGAGATCCATGGCTTAGAGGCCCCGGAGAGGAGGCTAGTTTCCCCCTCTTCCCTTTAGAGAGGACCGGACTGCCGCTGGTACTGTCCGGTTTGATGCTGGCGGGTTTGGGCTCGGCTGCCGCATGCTGGGACACCTTTGAGGGCTTTCTCGCCACAGGAGACCTGGTGTTACTTTTCTGCGGGGCTGGTTTCTCCTTCGCCCCGGACGGGCTGCGTCTGGAGATGCGGTTCGGATGCACCAAGGGCAGCGAGGCGGACTGCTTGCTGAGTTTGGGGGATTTGGGTACGATGGCAGGTGGTTTGGGGGAGCGGGAGTGCACATCCTTGAGGAAAGGTCTGGCCGGGGAAGGCGCTCGGTTCAGTCTCTTCTTCTCCAACTGGTGGTTCTGCGGTTTGGTGTCGCTGCCAGAGCCATTGGAGCTCTCCATTATACACCGACACCGAGACGATCAATCCACAGCACCGCGGAAAACCTCTGACATGAGACAGCAGAAAGACACCCAGGTTGCTCTACCTTCTTCCTCCTAGTGCGCATCCTGCAATGTGCTGGACGTTCTTTTTTTACTCCATCTCGTTAGCATTCACCAGGTTGTCATTGTAGTCCTTGGAGGAAACGCTGCAACAAGAAAAGGGGATTACTGGGACGGAGGTGGATGAGACAGGTTGCATCTGCAGATTTAGAAAGGAAAGAGTGTTTGTAGTAAGCCTACATCTCTTTTTCCTCCACAGATCGGGTCTCCATCACTGTTACACCGGGCTGTGAGTGCTGGGCCCCCGTCTCTCGTACCCCTCTCACTCCTTCCTATCTGACATGTAAGAACTGCAATCGCTGCGGTGTGAGGATCGACGCCCGTGATTTTCTGCGGGGCGCATGCGCTGCTCCAAGCACACCCCCTTGTTTTCTATGGGACCAGGCGGGACCAGGTCGGCACGCTTTGGTGCGCATGCCCTAATGACACGCACTCTATTGGCTATTATTGAACACCTACACAGTGGGTTGAAAGATGGATTAAGGAGACACAACACTGAGCTCTTTCTGTGGGACATCTTATACTTAAAACGTCTAAAAAGCTCCTTGAATCAATTGCATTATCCCTAATACTCCAATCTAAATTATGTTACAGTTAAACACCACGTTTGCAGCATCTTGGTACCCATAAAGTGATAGAAATGTCAATAATACTAAGAAAAGGATCATATCTTTGTTCCTGAAATCCACACAAGCATCCCTGAGACGCCACACATTGCACTTCTGCGTTAAGACACTGCAGTCACAGAAAAGAAAAGCCATAATCTGGTAATAAATATAGATATCTTTAATTGCATTTTTCATTAGTTCAAGAATGCCAGAAGTTATAAATACCACAAATCTGCTTTAAACATGCCAACACTTTTCAAAGACTTATAACATGTTTTTAATACAAAGTACAGTCTTTCCATCTTAAAAGGATACACATTTCAAATTAAAAGCATTTCTTCAAATGTATATCTAAAACACTGAGTAGTATAAGGCTTGGCTATTCAAAACAAAGACCGCCGGGTTAGTGCCAAAGGCTAAAAGTCACGAAGGGGGCAAATTAAAGGTTTTATTCCAGAAAACAAACCCAAAAGAAGTAACGACAATTGCAAAGTTACAAATCATTTGTATGTATGCTGGCTGATAAACTTGGGGTTAGGGTTAATTGTCTTGGTATGAACATGTTCATTTGTTAGGATATGTAATGTGCCATTTAAGCCCACATAAGCTTGACTTTAATACAAAAAAATTAAATCATCAAAAAGAACCAACAACAAGTCAGTTTAGGTCATTTGAAATCAGGTCCTTTGAATGGGCTTGTTCTTCCTCACCTTCAGACTTTCCTCAGGTTTTCACTTCCACATAGAAAACAAGACTTAGTGCTACAATATTGCATTCATTAAAAAAGACGGAAGACTTCAATGTCAACTAATCTCTATGAAAACAGGAAGGCTCACCATGCATAGCCTTGTATATTTGAAAAGGAACCCACGCCCATACTGTTATGTAACAAACTTCCAAATCATAATTTAAAAACATCTGACCCCTTCTTAAAAACACAAACATCCCCTTTCAAACAGGATACTTGAAGAGTCTCTTTATAAATGTGTTGTGAAACTTGAACCACATCTACACTAAAAGCCTGTCAAAATGTGCAGATATGAGCCACCAACATTTCCTGAGTCCCTCAAATATTAAACAAACTCTCCGACACTTATTCCACCCAGAAAAAGGAGACAATCTTCTCTAATCTGTATCTGAATTCCGAGTAAAAATAAAACACTTGGCAATATTAGTAACAAAACAAAGGCTAAAACCATGTTTGTGTCTATCAGCTTTTACTGTTTCTACTCCCTCTAAAAAGCCAGTTACAAACAAGGATAATAGAGAACCGCAGTGACGCGTCCTAAAACCAGGAAGTAAACTGTGTTGACACACATTTAAGAGATGGATCACGTTTTGTTCAGCCGAATAATCTCCACATGTCTACCCTACTTTTATCATTTTCGAATCATAAATCTAATCGATAGATTTATGATCGATAGATTTATGATTAGAAAATTATAAAAGTAGAGTAGACATGTGGAGATTATCCGGCTGAACAAAACGTGATCCGTCTCTTAAATGTGTGTCAACCACAGACCTTATTTCGAGCTATTTTCCAAAATCCTATGGAGAAATTGCATTGCATTTTTGTCGAAGGAACCGGAAGAAGTTTACTTCCGGGTTTTAGGACGCGTCACTGCGGTTCTCTATGCCCTTGTAAAAACACCAATCCCTCAAAGACTACATTACCCATCTCTCCTTGCAAACTCCATTCCACCTTATCAGTGTAGAGGATCAGAACGACCACTACCAAGGCAAAATCCATCTTTACTAAACTACAAGTTGTGCACTTTTTTCTGCATGTGATCTTAGCTAAGATGGACTGTAGTGCACTTTTTTCTGCATGTTAGCTAAGATGGACTGTAGTGCAAAACAATTTATACAAATGTGAAATGAGCCGTTCCAGACACTTTAACACTTTTAAGGCAAAAAGGAATACGAACTGATATGATCCACCTCCACACAACCACCTACTGCCGGCCAAGAAAATCTGCAGCTTGTCCAGTCATTACAGCAACACGCCATATTTACATCATGTGCTTTTGTTTACCCCAAGTCAACTCGTTACTTGGTGATTTAGAAACTTTTAGTGACAGTACAAAATGACTGTACCTAACCCCAGAACTTTAAACTAAGATGAAGAGACGCAAGATATCCCTTTTCTGTTAGCTAGAAGATGTAGAAATACATGGCCTTCTGGGCAACTTAGGCGAATTTAGTGTACACTATATGTAATGAGTAACAGGAAGCTGTAAGGCCCTCAATCATCACCCTCTTGTAAAATGTGCAACTGCTACCAGAGGGCTCTCTACCTCGAAGGAACCTGCGGGGAACAGCTAGCGGTCCGAGGAATGAGGTAGTCTGGGTCAAGTGTAGACAGAAGGGGGTGGTAGTAAATAGATGGCCTAATTGTTAGTGTACTTCATCTCATAGTGTACGAAACAGGAGAAGAAAATATAATAGCGTTTGTTGAGAGAGGAGTCCATGCATCTTACATCAGCAATCAATCATTCCTAACTGCTGCTGTTTGCTGCCCCCTGGTGGCCAGGTTGGTACTCTGCATGTGTGTGTGGTTTGTGTAGTGTGTAGTGTGTGTGCATGTGCGTGTGTGTTGTGTGTGTGTGTGTGTAGGATGGGGGACCACTCTGACTCTCTCAGCAACAGCGCATGCGAGGAGGCGTTAACTCCGGTGGCACATCCGGCTCAGGCTGCAGAGACAGGACGCTGTTGGAAAGCTCCATGTTGGAAACTTCCAGAGGCATCTGTTGTATCAGGAAGAAGAAGACACGGCAGGAGACAAAGGGTTAATGCAGGGAATATTTAGGCGGTGTGCGTACATCGTAACCCACAGTCAGTTCTTATGTGCAATGGCTCAGTAAGCCTCAATTTGTAGGAATGAAAGATAAGAAGCTTTTAGAAGCAATAGAATCATTGATAATAATCGGTATGATCTTAATGAAATAGGGCGATAATGATGCAGACGACGAAGTGTTGAACTAGGGGGTTAAGAGAGTTTAGCTTGAAACAATATTGGCCAATATTATAAGCTGGTATAAGCTTTTCACATATATAAATAAAGTGACAAGATACTGCTGTACAGAAACGTTAAAACTGTCCTTTTCTGCACAAATCTTCAATAACTAATTTGAAGCATATTTACAAAAAATGTGTCTATGTTATGCACCCTACTCACATGCATAACATAGACACATTGTTACCAGATTTTTGTTCAGGTTTCACTGAAAACACACCAACCTTGCTGAGGATGTCATCCACCAGCTTCAGGAAGATCTCGTCCACATTGAAATTATCCTTTGCACTAGCTTCGCAGAAGCGCATTCCACTTATTCTAGAGCAAAACTGCAAAACAAATAGATTACAATTAGCTCCAGGTCAGCAAAGAACAAGTGAATCGGGAGCAGAAATGAGGCTGAAATTGAGCAGAAATGAGGCTGAACAACACAACTGAAGATTATTTTCTCTAGACTTAATAGTACAATTGGATAAACTTCTAAATCACATGCTTGAATCAACTGGTACGATGCATATAATATCTGTTTGTTGGGGTATTCAGTGCTATCAGTCCATGGACGCATATTGAAAGCATCTATCTGCCCTACATTCTGCATAATTTGTTTGCTTATTTCCCTAAACTTGAAAGACGTTCTGCTTGTAATACCTGTTGTATCTATTGTTCGTCTTACTACACCTTCTATTAGATCATTTGAACATAAGAGCATTAGGTTGTTGAACTCACCCTCTCTCCCTGCTGTCTGGAGATGATACGATCAGCCTCACAGTCCAGCTTGTTCCCGACCAGGAGGAGCTCTGCTTCCTCTGAGGCGTACTGACACCAAACAGAAAGGAAAGAGATAAAAACGTCAGGGCTTCATCAGACTCACATTTCATAAAGTCAAACCTGAATACTGCGATGAAATGTGTTCGGCATAGTGGCACCTTTCATATTGGTTTTACAGTTTTGCCATTACAGCAAAATGAGAACATGAGGTTGTCATTAAAAAAAAAAAAAAATAGAAATGTTCTTACACAAGCATGTAAGCAGTGTGATCTGGCAACATAACTTATAATTTACATGCTGGCCAATATACCAATAAAGTTTGACTATGAGGACAGAAATTGCTCCACCCTCTGATCTATATCAACAGGAGGGACATGCAATGAATATCAAATATAAAAACAGCGGTATTACAGTGTCAGGAGTCGTCACATGTACCAACTCATATCAAATGAATACATTCAAGCCATTAGGACAATCATTTCTGCCAATTGACACTAAAGTAATACATTGAACAGGCCTATACACAAAGGCATTATAAGTTAACTTATCTAATGGTAAAAAGTCCTTCACAGTACATTTCCTGGTCACAATTGCTAGAATAATAACATTTACACTATCTCAATTATTTATGTAAGGTTAAACACTTGTTCTTGGCATATAACAATGGCACAAGAACACACTCAAGGACAAGAAGGAAGAACAAGAAAGAAGGCATATTTCATCTTATTCCAGCTGTCTCTTTACCTTGTCTATCATTTTCATCCATTTGGGCAGGTCCTCGAAGGTCTCCTGCTTTGTGATATCGTACACTAGCACTATTCCCTTGGCGCCCCTGTAGTAGGCGGAGGTGATGCTGTTGAATCTCTCCTGGCCAGCAGTGTCCCTGCACGACACAAAATGAAATTTGTTTTCCAACAACAAATGGTGGAAGAGGAATCAATTTCGTGAAATGTCATAATCAAATCTATGTCTTACCCTCTACCCCTACATCTCAGTTTAACCCACACTTCTTGTATTGATAAGCAGTACATTTCTATTCCATAAATGGTTTACAACAAATTATAATGTAAGCACATGTAACCTCCTGTCCCCCCCCACCCGGACCACCTTGGGGCGACAGAGCCTTCTCCGTTGCTGCACCCACCCTCTGGAACTCACTACCCCAATCCATCAGAGACTCTTCCTCCCTCACCGCATTCAAAACATCACTCAAAACCCACCTTTTCAACACTGCATTCAACCACTGACCACCCCCCCCCCCCTTATTTTCTGATTTTTTGTTTTATTCTCTGTCAAAGCGTCTTTGAGTTTCTAGAAAAGCGCTATACAAGTCTCATGTATTATTATTATTATTATTAAGTGTTAATTATTGTATTTGTCAAACACTACCACTCTTGTTGTCAGCCATAAGGGGAGGACTATATATATAAACAGATAATGATAAACAATAAAGTATAAAAAATGAAAATAACTTACAGCTACTTTATAGTGTGTTTACCGAAAGCATTTTGTAAATGTTAATATACTGCATGTATGTTATTTGTGGTACATAAAATCTAAATAACATTGTTAGACAATAGCAGCTTTTATAGGCTGATCAAGGTGACAAAATAACTACAGGCACTTGTAATGAAAGCAGACTTACTATTAACAACATAATAAACTCTTGTTACATTTTAACAACATAAAAGTGTATATTCATTCAAGCTTTCTGTTATGTTTCAGCTGATGATCAGACTCAGGTTTAGCAGCACAATAAGCAGGTTGAGCTGCACCAACAGAGCAGTGTTACTGTACCTTCAGTGGTTCCCTTTGTGAGTCACAGTCAGGCTTATGAGCAGAGCAGCGGACAGAGACACAGCAGCACATGGCGGGTTAGGTTAAGGCGTGGACATGATGAAGCTTGATATGAGCAGTTCAATGTGACAGACAAGACACATTGAGGACGGTCCTCTAGAACGGACAGGTTGCAGGGTGGGAAGAGGAACGGGGGGGAAACGGGAGGAGGTAAAGGGTGGATGTGATGTGGAGGGGGGATGGATGGGGTGTTAGTGAAGAGGACAGATGCATTAGTGAAATAAGCGATGGAGTTCACACGTTCAGTTCAGCCATGCACTCAGTCAGCACTTTCATAACTAACTTGTGGCATGTTTGTAAAAAAATAAAAGACATGCGTTTATAATTGCATAATTTTGAATTTATACTGTAAATGAATCATGTTGCTGCCCTTACAAAGTGTACTGTTGCATACAGTATGCATTTGTCATTACTTTGTCATTGCCCCGTGAACTTTCACACTCTTATGCGTCTGCTGCGCAGAGGATTGTGGGTCAGAGTTGCCAGGTGATCTGCTATTCCTTTATAGCAGCCAGCAAGTACATTTATCAGGAGGGCATTTAACATACAGTGTTTAACGCTGTCCTGACCAGAAGCAGCTGTTAGTGGAACGACAAGGATATGATCCCTCACCGGCTTCACACTAGCAAACACCAGTAACAAATTACACTGTTTTATGTTTACTTTAAATATATTAGAATGATAAGTGCAGTTTTACTTTGAAATCAGAGAAGGGATGGCATTTAATGTTATGAACTGTGTACAAATATTTGTTTTTTTAATTATGATGTGTATTTTTATTTTCTATGCGTTTTCCAGAAGTGTTTTAATGTGTGTCCTTAATGGTCCACATAAAGTACGAAATGTAAGAGTAACAACAATAGCACCTGATGTCGCACAAGTTAAAGTGTTTGCCATTGAGACAGCAACAGGGTAAGTAGCATCATGTGCTGCTCAACATGAGGCTAACAGTTATCTTCCCACAGGGTCCACAGTTGATTTTATATGCAGCTTTATATGAACAACTACCTCATGGTATGTTATGGCTTACTTTTATATGCACTATGTACAGTACAAAGCTGAAGGGCAGGAGTAAGTGTTTGTTAGAGCAGCTTGCAGGGTGATAGGACAGACACAGGAAGTGAACCATGCAGAAGACTAAAGGAGTTGGGGACTTGTGGAATTACTCACCATATCTGTAGTCTGATCTTCTTCCCTCTCAGCTCCACTGTCTTGATTTTGAAGTCAACTCCTATGAGAGGAAACAGAAACACACATGAGGACGTGTACAAGTTCCAGCATTTCCTGTGTTATTTTCTGTCTATTTGTTGGTTGGTTTAAGATATTTGACTTCCCTCCTTTGCTTTATGTCTGGTTAAATCCTATGTTTTTTTAAATGTTAATTTGTGATCAAAATAAAATGCTATTAGTGACAAGTTGTATTACAGGAATGACAGGGCACAAAATGGAGCTCTGCCACAGCAGCTGCTCTTGTGTGACTATTTTGGGATTGGACACTATGACTGACTGTTGTTTGGTCACAGGACTTTTTACCCAATTACACATGTTCAGGGTGTTATGTATTTAAGCTGGCAGCATCCATAACCATGCAACATTAAATTGTCACAAGGCACTCTTGTTTTCTTTCTTTTTAATAACTCAAATAAAGAGATCATGTGTTTTATGTAGGACAACTGTAATTGTATATATAAAATGGAAGAATGGCTGTACAGTAATGGAAATGGCCTTTAATTAAAGCACTTATTGGAACAAAACTATACCCTTATTTATTTAAATATAACCAAACAGGCTCACCACCAGCAGTATATTAAGTTAACTAATTACTGGACAGCTGCAGATGCTATCTAAGAACTAAGTTACCATAGTCTCCCCTGCTATGTTGGGCTTTAAAATCCCTGATAAACATCTCCTGTAACAGCCTAGTAAATGCAAAAAAACATCAAATTATTCAAAGCATGAAACATGTTTGTCTAGTTGATTAATTGCAGCATAGTTTTAGCTATGACAGCTTTGTTAGCTACAATAGTGTTGTTGTTGTTACCGTTAGCTTAAGTTAGCTAGCTATAGCGTCTAGTATAACCTCTATTCAGTCCAGTTACACAGAAAAGTAGTCAACAATATGTGTATAATGTCCAGCCCATGCTAGTTTAAGAACATTTCCTCCAGTAAGTAGACTGCGCCCTGTCAAATAAAGTTGACAAAAACACGTCTCCTGTCCTCACCTACGGTCGACTTGCAAGCTTCACAAAAAGTGTCGTCGGTAAATCTCTCCATGATGCTGGTTTTACCGACACCACGGGAGCCGATAATGATAATTTGAAGTTTAAAATCAGCGGGTCTGGGAGGCATCTTCCTGCGGCGCGACTGAGCCCCCATGGCCGGGGAAGAGTTCGCGGATCCCCCGCCACCACCGGCGGCCCTCCGCGGTATGTCATATCTCGAATCCATCACTTATTCCACATTTGTAACTACAGGGAATAAACTAACAAACGCTCCTAAAGAGTCAGACAACCGAAACAATTGTTCTATTTCCAACTTTCTTTTGTTTTACAAGGAGTTTGTGAAAGTTTGTCTCTCGCGGACAGTTGTTGTTGTTCAGCCATTAGAGACCGCAACCGTCATGACGTCATTGACCACATTACAACACACTTCCGGTTCCGCCGCTCCTCTACGGGCTTCTAACTTATTATTTTATAATGTAACAATTATTCAAGTGTTTTAAGACCAAATTAGATATGAGGAAGCCAGGAAACAGGAAACCAACTAAAACGTATCCAGTGACCTACACACAATTCTATAATTCGGTGGAGTTTAATTAGTTAGGAAAATCTTTGAGATACTTTTAAAAAATCCCCAAAATTGGGATGTGACCTAACGTTTAAATTTAAATTTCAGTCCTGACTTTTTTTTCTGAGCTAAAGTCATAACTCACATTTTTCTTTGACTTTTGGTCACATCACATCACATCCCAAAAATGTTTTCTCATGTGGCCGTAATCCTCTTCCGTAGATGAGTAAAACAAATGTCATTATACGGTTACGGCTCTGAGTCCCCACGAGTCTGCAGGAAGTTAAGGAAGTTCCCTTGATTCAGTGAAGGCTTCTCAATTCTCGAATTTCCCCTCCTCGACTCCTCGAATCCTCGGTCCTCCGGTAGTGACCCGGAAATGGATTTCAGCGCGCCATGTTGAAGGACATCTAATTTCTCTAAATGCACATCGAGGACCGAGCATCGAGCATCGAGGAGGCTCTTTGTAGGAGCTATAATCGAGGATACAATGATGGTTCCTCCACGGCTCCTCCACGGATGTATTTCCGGCAACAGTGATGTTTCAACGAGTCGTAACGCACGGCCGGACTTATCTCAGCCAATGACAGCTCTGCATGCATCCGCTGGATATTGTTTTATTAACTGCTTTCATCGCGACGCGATGTTTACAGTGAGCCATAGTTTATGGGCGCTGTATGCAATATAGGCGTAGTTCTGTTAGTATGAGATAATAAGATGTACTTTGTTGATTCAAAATCGGGAAATTGTTTTGTTATGAAATTTAAATACAAATATTTTTTTAATTTCTAACTTTTTTTTTCTTTTTTTTCCCCCAATGGGTTGATCAAGCGGCAAACTCTGCGGAAGAGCCGGGACGCCAATACGGAAGTGCCACAAACTGCAGTTCATATATTGGCCGATAGGCGATGACTGCAGAAAGGAGCAATTTCCATAGACCCCATGTTAAAATGCCCAATTTTACAGCAGAAAAAAACATGTTTCTACCCCTGGATGCAATAAATATTATTATGGATATAGTTAGATTCCACCTTCATGATTATGAATCTGTGAGTGAATTGTTTTCTAACAATTCACAATTCACCCTTTTATTTATATTAGGTCTTAAAGTCTTTGCATAAATTAGGGCGTGGTCACATTGAGTGACAGCTCTGTCAAGTGACTGCTGCTGTTAGCTTCTTGTCTCTCTGCTAGCTGCTCCGTGAAGCTACAGGGACTCTGCCTGCTCAGTTCATCCAGGGAACACAACTTGACCCCGGCCGTGTTTGTTTGTTCTTCATGGGTCAGTGTATGTTTTGGTCATTGGATTTTCTTTTCACAAATGGATATTCAAAAACAAAAAACGACTGGATATTTGATTTTCGTTTTAAAATTGAAAAACCAAAATTGAAATACAAGGCGTTTTTCTTTATCATGGTCAAAGAGGGATTTACTAAACTTAAAAAACGGGATGATTTTCATTTTCTACTTCTCAAAACAAAAAATTAAATCAATAGAAAACAGAAACAAAAAAAACGACCGTTTGTTTTTTTGCTATATTCTGCTACCGGAAGTTACCTTACAAAATAAAAGCGCAGATGAGGACGGTCAATCCGTGTATCTACGGTCCATTTGTTTTCACAACGAAAACAGCAAAGACACATATTGAGCCCAGAAAATGAACGTTATTAAGGGCTGTAAATATAATAAGCCTATATGTCTAAAATGGACAATATTGTTGATTTCAACTATACACTGTAAAAATGTACCAGCATTTCACAACATTTAAAGGGGACCTATCATGCAAAATGCACTTTTGTACGTCTTTTATACATGAATATGTGTCCCCGGTGTTCCAGGGAACTCACCAAATGTCAGAAAACACAACCCTCTCTATTTTCCTCCATACCCAAATCTCTAAAAAAGGGGCTGCAACGGATCAGATAAAAACGGATCCAGATTTGAACACTGTCCTGACGTCAGGACAGTGGCGCTACGGCTATTGGGCCAACTCCACCAATCAGGAGGAGACAGCCACGGCCATTGCCGTTCGAAAGCGCTGGAGACGCTGTAGTACATATGCCAGGCTTGTAGATGGTGCTGTTCTCACAGAATCAGCCCTTGCAAAAACAGAGCTAACATTTTTCAAATTGAGCGAAATGAGACATGGCTAAAATGCATGATCTGTAAATAAATATGCCTTATATAGGTATGGTCCTACACTATATTATTCAAATATAGCATGATAGGTCCACTTTAAGTAAGTGTGCGTTTACACAGGTCACAATTAGGGGCCGGAATGTTGGAGCTATATATCTCTTTATATTATTTAATAGTTTAAAGGTGGGTTAGGTAAGTTTGAGAAACCGGCTCGAGATACACTTTTGTTATATTCCATGGAATGCTCTTAACATCCCGATAGCAATGAATATCTTAAGTGCTTTGACAAAAAATCCATAAAAAAATGTCATCTGTGGAAGCCGTAATACTGTAAAAAGTATGACCAATCATTTTAGCCGGCCCGGCTAAAATAACTGGATGGCCTACCTGCCTGTCAGCCTTCCATCTGTGCACAGACTTATCTCGTGCCCTCATTGGTCATGTGCACGTTCGTGTGTGTTGGAGGAGGGGCTCTGTAAGGAAGTGGCAGATTTTCTCCGGTTGTGTATTTTCAAATTCTAGCGATCTCGAGCCGGTTTCTCAAACTTACCTACCCCACCTTTAAGTACATTGTCAGAATAAGTGAGAAATGGATTTAACTTCTGTTAGACAGCTATCATACTGAATAAATATTTACTGTGAATGCATGCAAAAATGTATGGCATTAATAATGTATATCTAATTACATTAACTGTGAATGTCTTTCATTTTATTTAAAATTAAATAAAATTACATAAAAGATTTTCCATAAAAAAGTTGATTCAAGAACAAATCTCTGTTATTAGATCAGTAATCACCTTTAGACATGTATTCTCTCAAATTGTTGTAAAATACAAAAGTCTTAATTCTGTCAGATGCAATGCAAATCGTGCAAATTAAGTTTAAAACTCGCGCACGCGCAATGCATATTGGTCAGCCGTCTAGACCAGGGGTTCCCAACCCCCGGTCCGCGGACCGGTACCGGGCCGCGGAGGTGTTACTGCCGGGCCGCGAAATAGCTGTGAGTTTATCGTAATATTTGCAGAATTATAAATATATAAAAATATTTTATCATAATATTTTTTTCAAAAAGTGTTTAATTTTCGCACCTATGCCACCAGTCATATTATTTCATCCAGTAGCTAGTTAATCTTTCACCAGAAAACCGTTGAAAATGGCTTTTATGATGTTCCGAGGGATTCGGCGGCTCAGCCTAAGGTCTCAGCCTCTTGTGCGCACGAGCATGTTACCGGTGCGCCAAGTAGGAAGAGGAGCGCACAGGAGACAACCGTTTGATTGCAGACTGTTATGTTTATGTGGGGAAATGGTGGTGCATACATTATTTGAGATATATTTCAAACTCGGACTTCATTTTAAGGACATGTCGGCCAGGAGTGTAGAGCTATTTGTTTAAGCACCGGATTGGCAAAACAGGAGAGTAAACCAGTCTGCCTTGATCTATGAATTAATGTCCGGGACTCTCACGGTATCTGCTGCCCGCAGCTGTTTTATAGAAGGAAACCCTCCTTCACTTCATGAAATGGCTGAAGCATCAGGAGGCAGCGGGACGTATACTCGGTAAAGAGCTGTGCCTTTTTACGCACCGCCTTCGCTGTGTTTAATTTAATCAGAACAGTTTAAGAGTGACTGCAGGCTACTACGTGTTAACCACACACACATCTACACACATCGAACTGCCCGATTACTCCCCCTTTTATTAGTTTTATGAAGGATATGTCCAGTCAGTCACCAAGGCGCATGATGTGTGTGTGTATGTGCTCTGCTCAGCTCAGCTCTGTGTGTTCGGTGTGTTTGTGTCTGTCCGACACCGGCATATGCGGCTGTTCCCAAAATAAATTAGTTTAATCTTAATCTCGATGTAGTGCTATGCTGTCGGGAGTGCACCGGAACGAACGACACTATCATAATATCTTCTGAAAACAAATGCCAGTGACACACACACACACACACACACACACACACACACACACACACACACACACGCACACACACACACACACACACACACACACACACTGGCGACCGGACATCTCCTTCATAATGCGCCTTCTCCTCGTTTTCCCAGCATTCACTGGATTATCCGTAAATCATACAAACAAAACCAAAACGTTGATTTATCTGTTTTCCCGTTTTGGTTTAAAAACTGAATAACGTCGGTTTTTTGGTTTTCCGAAAAACCAAAAAACAACACCGGTTCTTTTTTAAACTTTGTTAATATGTTTTGGATGCATATTGTTCTAGTATTTGTTCAGGCTGTTACATACAATTAGCCTCTGTTGCTACCTGCTGGTGGTGAGTAAATATTAAAATCAGTTAAAATTGACAACCGGTCCGCGATTTTTTTTTAATGTATCTGCCGGTCCTTGGCACAATAAAGGTTGGGAACCCCTGGTCTAGACATCAAGTGTCCTATTTGGGTTGCCGTACGGAGTTGTCCAATATGGCGGACCATCTCGCACATGCGCAATGCAGATCGGACAGGGATGCAGATCGGGTAGTGACAAACACATCTGTCCATCAGACAGGGGGTGTTTCTCAATCTCGAGTAAAGCTGCTCCAGAGCCACTATTTCAAGCATCGAGTGCCGCCGAAGTACTGTTCCAATGTCCAGCATACTTGGAATTCTACCGAGCCCGGTGTACTTCGTTCGGAGAAATGTTGAGGCTGCACATGTGTAGACTCTGCGGTCTTAAAATCCCCACAATGCTTTGCGCACGGACCAATTTCCCCAAATCTGTGGCGGAAAATGTAAGGCGGGGCCTCTCATATGACGCACATCTGCACACTTGCTCGCCTGTTCCACTCTTCGTTTTCCGAATGCCAGGAAGTATTCTTGCCTCACTTCTGAAGCAAGACGCTCGGAAGACATGTGTTACCTAGCAAGCGTACTTGAGATTGAGAAACACCCACAGAGGGCTGCTGTGCCTCCTGTCATCATTAATGGACGTCTCTTTAAAATGACCGCTCAGAGGAGAGGATTTCTCATTTCTCTAAACGCCTGCTGCTTCCCCTCATCTCTCCTAGGTTCCCCTCCTCGACTCCTCCGCTCGCATCTCCTGTGGGCGGGACTAAGACACGAGGATAGGAGTCGAGGAGGGGAGTCGAGGAGGGGAAATTAGAGGATTGAGAAGCCTTCATGGAATGTTGTAAAAGGTTGTCCACCAGAAATGATATCTAGGACCTTCAAGGATCACAACCTGGGTGGACAACCCGGTCAACTAGCTACTGGAAAGCTACAGTGATGGTCCAAACAATGCAACCCCTATATGAAAAAAAGTCAAAAAAATTGTTCATCCGCACACCACTTCTCACAAAGGAAGCTCAGCAGGTTTGCTTTGTTAGCAGACACTGCAAAAAACGACTTTGGATCCGCAGCTGTGTACTGCTCACTGACTTCATACACTTTCGCTGGTTTGGATCTGGCATATCTCTGTTCCAACTTCCTGCTCAGCTGACTTGAGGCTGGTTATACTGTATTTGTCACAAGAGAAGTGTATGATGTCAGTGCCAGGAGGCACATCAATCAGCAGCAGGTGCCTTGTGTATATTAATGTAAACCCTTCAATATGTTATATAGAAATAATCTTTTAAGTATATTTACCCATTTTGAACACAGCAAACAATCCAGAGGACCACAAGTGCATTGCTTGAAATGGATTTCGCTTTGGAGAGACAAAAAAGGCACAGTTTCATCTAGTGGCCTTATTGAGAACATGCTTAACCAAGGCATCACCTGAAAGCTAATTTTCTGCTCTTTCAATAGGTTGGCTCAGTTTGTCTTTACCATGAACTGTCACAGAGATATTCAATCAGAAAGAGAATGATGGCATCTGATCCAGACAGAATTTTTTTCATGGGTTGCATTGTTTGGACCCTCACTGTAGCTTTCCAGTAGCTAGTTGACCGTTGTCCACCCAGGTTGTGATCCTTGAAGGTCCTAGATATCATTTCTGGTGGACAACCTTTTACAACAATCTGTAAAATGACTTTGCCCCCTGGGTAATCCAAAAAAGAAACCTTTGTTTTAGTGGGAAAAATGCAGAAAACGAAATCCTGGTTATCAATTCTGAGCATTAGAAGCCAAACATGTGTATACAAATATTGAAAAAGAAGTTTAGAGAAGAAAATATTGGCAGACATCTTTATAAAAAAAAAAGGTATATTTAAACCAAGTATAATGGTGTTGCATACTGACATCTTCTGAGCTGTTTTAAAACATAACGTTAACTTGACATTTTTGTTCAAGGCAACAAATTCTACAAACCAATGAGGAACAATTTGAGAGTTCTTACACAAAGCTACTTTAGCATATGGAGAAAAGGATCAAAGTTGATGAACAACAGTGTGGGTGATGGTATAGGGGAAAAAGTATAGGAACAATGCATCATTAGATTTACCAAAATTGTTACTGACATTTCTGTGGGAGGAGTAGTCGTAGCTGCATTAATGGTAATGGAAAATTGTAAGTCATTTGTATTACATGTCTGTTCACTTTCAGCATAAGTTACTTATCATACTAATTAGCAGGAGAGACAAAAAAGCTGAACATACATTAATTTTGCACTATGATGGTCACTGGGTTATTATGAATTCTGTTCATAATAAGATGATGATATTTAGATGATGATCAGAATGTCAGAAATAAAGTACAGAATTGGAGTAACATTCAGAATTGAAAACCATATATTGTGTGATATTTACTGCATGATGTGTCTACTGTTTTACAGGGATCAGTGCTGGGACTCCTGTGTTTGTGCTGAAGGGAGAGGATTTGCTTCTGAATGTCACCAAAGCTCTTGTTCTTGGGGATTTAGATTCATTTTTCTGGAAATGTAATAAAAGTAGCATAGTGAAATTCACTTCTAATACCAAAAAAGACTCTGCTAATTACGATGGAAGGCTCGAGTTTCCTGTGAAAAATTACTCTGTGAAATTGAAGAATCTACAAGAGGCAGACAGTGGAGTTTACACTGCTGTAGTGGAAAGGGATAAAACAGAAAATGAAGCAGAATATAACGTCAAAGTTCAAGGTAGGTTTGTTAACCTCTCAAACACTGATAGAGTTGCTGTGGTCTTGTTTCTAAAACTCTTCACCTGCTTCTTCCCTCCTCAGATCGAGCATCTCTCCCTCTCCTCACAGTGAGCTCTGTCCCTGATAGCTGTTCCTCCTGTAGCTTCACTGTGACCTGCAGCTCACAGGACTCTCACATCAACAGCACTTTCACATGTGAAACCAGAACCTGCAGTCAGGAGGGAGGAGAGCGGTCAGAGGGGATCCCTGATACTTTTCTCCAGGTCCACCAATCAAGTGGCTCGATCATATGTAACCATAGCAACCATGTCAGCTGGACCAACGACACCAAAACAATCAAAGATGTTTGCCACCAGCTTGATGGTAAGACTGAAATAGAAACTATTTCCTGATAATAACACACAGTTTGGAATTTAAAGTTTAACAAAACTTCTTTGTGAATTAATAACTCTGTCAGGCTGCAGGTGTTAAATGTGAACTTAAAACTACAAAAATGTAATTTGAAGAAACTTTAAATTACAAAACGAATTCAGTACATCAGTACATCATGTTTTAAGCATATAATGTGCTGTTGGTCTCGTATATAGAACCTTTATATAAAGCTTTGAACTTGAATATTTGTATAAGTACTGTGACGTATGGATTCTTGGACCCCAAAGCAGAGACAGACACAAGTTAAGCTCAAGGTGTTTAATAAATAATAGGCCAAGGCAGGTACTGAAAACAGGGAGCTGGCTGGCTGCAGAAAGGTCCAAAAACAAAGCAGAGGGAAACGTCCCAGGCTATACTTGAAAAGTAGCTCAAAAACTGCAAAGAAACAAAACAAAACTCAAGGCTGCAGAAAGGCACTCTGGATCGTTGAACAGCATTTAATTCTCTGGCAGAGAAGTGAGGTGAGGGCCAGGCTCTTAAAGAGCAGGTGATTATGTGAGTGGGAACAGGTGTGCCTCATCTGCAGCCAGGAGAATACCAGCCACGCCCCCTGTCACACACCAGCCCTGCAGAGAAGGAGAGACAGAGTAGTGAGGGGTAAAAGGAGCAAAACAGGAAATCACACAACAAAACCCATGCATAAACATAACAAGTACAGAAATATCTGCATATTTGAAGAACAGAATAAACATTAATTCAACATTAAACCGCCAACATGACGTTTTACAATGTCTGATGCATATCCACAGTCTGTAAAACTAAACTGCACTTTGCAGTGCAAGTACAATGTAGGACTCAAAGTACTTCCAAACTGTAAAGTACTCAAACTGTTATCCAAATAAAGTAGTAATCACTGATTTGCTGCTTCAACAATTTGCAGTTGTATATGTGTATGTGAGAAGGCCTGCTCCCGGAAAGCTGGCAACTGACACAGAAGGACTCCCGAATTTGGTGATTCGCGGTAAAGAAATAAACAAGAGAGAAAGTGCATCTCTGTCAGCAGCTTCTGTCAGTCAGAGGGTTAGGTAAAAGTTGAGATGTCATGTGAGGAGAATTAACTAAAATACACTTCATGTATTTACATTTATTTTTAAATAACTGTCATGAATCTGTGTGTGAGATACAGACAGGGAGAAAAAAGTCCAGGCATATTTTTATTAAATTATTAACAAAAATTGCAAATGTGCCCTTTCATGCATTTGAGCCCCTTCCACATCCTCTGCACGTTTCAAAGAAGCAACATGCATAGTAGGATAACAACTTTTTTCAAATGTTTTGAACTGAGAGTTTGTGTGTGACACAATATTAATGGTTGACAATAACTGGCCTCTGGTCTTAATACTGGTAGGAGAGGTTTAAGTCAATTTCTGTCAATATCATGGACTATGACATTTATAGGAAATCTGGCTGAGCAGAGGTATGTGTTTCTGTATGTGAGAGGGTGTGTGTGTGTCAATTATTTTACATTTTTAGATTTTCATTTTGTATACAGTATGTGAGAGATAAAGAGGGGCACATAGAGGAAGATAGTGAGGGAGCACACAGAAAGGCTGAGAGCAAAAGAGAGAAGGAGAGAGAGAGGTCGGGGGACATACACCCAGCATGTGTGCCTGTGTGTATGATGTGGCTCTTTGCAGTAACACAGTAAAATGATTGGCTCTTTACCTCTGACTGGTTGGCCACCCCTGCTCTAGATGAATAGGAAGTAATAATAAGACATGTGTGCCTGGTGAAGACGTGTGTGTTCTCTGTGGGTCTGATCATCATGGTGTCTGCTGTCATCACAGTTCATCTCATGGAGAAGCTCAACAAGAACAAATAAACTCATAGTTATGGTTCCAAACCGGGGACACAGGGACCCCTAGGGGTAGTTGAGGGGATTGCAAGGGGTACGTAGAAAGATTAGGGGCTGCAAATTATTTCCACACAAAAAAACATTTTCAAATCCATTTTCATAAGCCATTGTGACAAATCAAGAAATGTAGAAATGCAACAACTAAGGTGAGCGGCCTCAAGGCTGCAAGCAGTAAACCTGGATATAAATATGTTCACTTACAATGCATTTTGGCTACTAAATCTTGATGTAAACATTGATGCTTTGCAAGGAAAACACAGAAGGCAGCTTTAAAAAAAATGCTGAATATTCTTGTTAATCCAATGATTATATCAAGTAATCTGTTTGTAGGTCAAATCATTTGTGTTGCCTTCAGATTACTGAGATTTCAAAAAACACAAATAACATCTTTATTTGTATGATCAAGATTTTTCAAAAATATTTAGTTTATTTGTACAGTATGTTTTATGCTTGTTTACATTTTTGAATGAAAGCATACATGCGCCATTTAATAAAGCTGTTTTATTCCTATATTTTTCATTATCTTTAATGTGTTAATGCAAATGAGAAAATTACTCACATATGTTTGTGATTTATTTGATTGTACTAAAGATCATGTGTGCCAATTCTGTTTCACTCTGCTGTGACAATGTATCCCATTACATTTACTAATTACCTAATCATCAGTAACCTACTGTAAGTATCTGATATTCATATAAGGTAAACTAATTACTTTAGGGACAAATCAATATCAATTCAATGCAAATAAATACAACAAGGCTTTTACCTATGTGTAAAATATAAAACAGAACAATTTAACCTTAAAAAAAAAGAAACACAAATATGTTTGCTTAGTTTCAACAATGGGTCCTCTGCTCTTTTTATGACAAACAGAATATGCTTTTTAAGTTCACTGCAGTATAGGCTATTAATTAAGAGCTTTCACAGCATTTCTAATAAATCCCCTGTCCACCCACTGAGCTGTCAGAGGAAAAAAACTCATTGAATATTCAGGCAAAATATGGCCTAAATATTTCAAATAAAAGGGTAGAAAAATATAGTTTACAAATACTTTTTTATTTTAATACATGAAATCACATAACATTATATGACATACTCACATTCCATCACATTTATCTGACACTTTTATTGCACTTTTATTTTATTTCTGACACTTCAAGTGCCTTGAAGAAACAAACTAAAAAAAGAAAGAATCCTGCAGCTACATTCACATAGCAAAATCAATGTTGGTGTTGGTTTTTAAAAGAGGAGGAGTGAAAGTATCCTAAATAAATAAAAAAAAAAACTGTGAGCACGGCTACCTATACAAAGTGGACCACAGAAAACCATAATTTACAAATCATTAACCTGCAAATTCTTCTTTAAATTAAATGTTGACTTCTTGGCAAATGATAGCATATTAACAGCTGGAAGGCCCAGTTTTCAATGGCGGTAATGTTGTTCCACTTTTCTCCTTTCAACACAAAATGCTGGAGAATTTTCCATTCAATTCATGACTTCTTTAACTAAAGGCAACAATGATGTAGAGGAATATTAGCTTTGGCTTCACTCGAGACTCTGTTGTGAGACTCTGTAATGATATATCTTTTTTGTAACATTAAGGGTAGAAACTGTAAAAATAATTTGCATACAATAAAATTAATTCCACCACATTGTAATCTGTTACTCTCAAAGCCTGTCGTTAAACAGTGAGGAGAAGAAGGAGACAATCCAATGTCCTTCTTGTTGTTAGCTTGATGCTAACTAGGATTAGTGGTTGCTGTTGCTCTTAAAGATCTCCTATTATACTATTTGTATGCATATATTATGGGTCTCAGATATATACAAATATATAAAAAACATGTCTATGATGTGTTTTGCTCAAAATACAAAACAGAGGCCTGTACTACGAAGCCGGATTTTCCTAACCTGGATATGTTTGAGTTAGCCGGTTGGCCCAATCCAAAACATACGCGCTCTCGCTAAACTGTCCTACGACGCTGGTTATCAAGTGGATCGCTCAAGCCAGCCGTGTCCTATCTAGTTAGGTGCGCGTTCACATGAAAGGGGTGGTATTTGGAGCATTCGACCAATCTCAAACATGGACAAGCGTACTGACAGCGCAGCGTCATACTTCCTGAATGAAAAGTGAACTTTAATATTAGTCAAATATGAAGAAGTTAAACTTTAAACATCCATGACTTAAACACTTTATCCAGGATAAAAGCCACATAGCTGCACCTGCAAGGTGAATACAGCTGGTAAAAGAGAAAGTGTTTGAATGCGTACATTAACAGGTTTATGATATCACTGCCCCGTCTAAGACACGAGTGGATCTGACTTTAATTACATTTGACTCGAGTGTTTCGTCAACTTAATGTGTTGCTTAAAATAATACTTCTGCATACAGTATGTGACACTGTGAGTGTTGCACGGCCAGATACGGCTCAAGAAGCTGACTCAAATAAGGAAATATATGATACATTATGATGTGATATGATATGAATGATAATGGGACACATCGACGTCTGCACTCACAGTGCCGCGGACTGTACTTAATGTTACTCTGATCCGGTTACTTATGTCGTGGCAGATATTTAAGTAAGCTTTCTTAACGCTAATGTTATAATAGTCAGATTGCTCTGAAGATGGGAGGGGATATTCTATAAATGTTCACGTTCACACAGTCAGTTGATTTTGGCCGGCCGTCTTTCCTGCAACGGCAGTTTTTCTGTATTTCCTCTATCCTGTAATATGACTTGATAGCTTTAAACTCCGCACACGGAGCTCTGATTGGTCAGCAGGCGGTGCTTTCACTGAGTTGATCTCTTAGCCTGCAACCTAACCTCCTCCCGAGGAGGTTAGCCGCTCAGCATAAGTTACCATGGAGATCTAGCCCGCTAAAAAGAGAACCAGCGTCGTAGGACCGGAAAGCCTGAGTTTTCCCTGAAGTCAGCCGGCTAAGCGAAAATCCGGCTTCGTAGTACAGGCCTCAGATCATGCATTTTAGACATCCCTCATATCCCTCTATTCCAGCCCTGTTAGAGAAACGCTCTAGGAGGGGGAGCTAATGCCTGCTCAGAATTACCTGGCAGATACAGTTACATTCTGCCGTGATTAAATGCCATATGTTCCAAACCACATCAAGGATTATTTCTGAAACAGTATGGAGCTCAAATGCTTTTTCTCTTGCGGGTGGATTTTCACACCAAAAGAGGGTAATGTGAAAACAAAGTCCATGGCTCAGTTGTTTGTGTGCACTGAGGAGTCTAAGGCTGGTGCCCCACGGGAACGAGATAAAGATAAATAATCTGAATTCAGTGTGCAGTTTACTTTTGCGGGGGTGAGCGGACAAAGAGCTGAATCTTCATCATCTGTTGGATCCTGAGTACGGGCTGGAGCTACGAACTGGAACAGAACAAAACATTGATTTACCAAAGGTTGTTTGTATAATATTGTATTTTTATGTCATATATTCCTCAAATTCAATACAATTCCATATTATTGACTACAAAAGGGATAATGGTGTTTAACAAAAATGTAAGATTCATTTGTATTTTCAGTTAAAAAGGCATGACATTTTAGGTGTTATTAATCAAAAGCAGAGTAAGGCCAAATAAGCACACAAAAAAAGCATTTGCACTGCTAACACATACATACTTTGCATTTAGAGAAAGATGTGGGAAATGACAGGTCTCCTCTTTATACAGTAAATAGCAAATACATATATGCAGATATACTGTGTGCATAGTGATTAGTGTGCATAGTAGGCAATATAACTGTCTGAGGCTCCAGTTATGGATTGAGCTTGTTCCTCATATTCAGTCCAAGTCTGTTTAAATTGTTAAAAATAAAAAATTCAGTTACATTTTTGAGTGAAAAGTAAAAAATACCTTGTCTCTTACCTGAGCAGTATCATAAACTGTATTTTCGTCAATCACTCCTTTGCCTGCAGGTCAGTAAAAAAAGAAAGAAAGTGGATTTGCATTCATTTACATTTCATTTTGAGAGCTTCACCTTTATGCTTATTACCTCCATAACATTTACATTACTTGAGCTGCATCTGCATTGACCCCAGATTTTGGTTGTGTCCTAATTATCATTTTCAAACAGCTGAAAACTTTAAAGCCTCTATATGTAGATTAGAGCATGTTGCTGTATGAGAGGTTTCAGATATGCTTTATGTGATTGCTCAATAGACAATGGGGATGTGTAGGTGGAAGATGATGAAATTGAATAAAGCACTTAATTCCCACAAACAGTAAAACCAAAATAAATGTTTTTGATAAAATGCACACTTAGACTTACTTGTTCTTCTCGTTCGAAGACACCAATGTACTGCACCAATGATGGCGAGAATGAGAATTGGAATGCATACTCCCAAAATGATGGGAACAGGGTCTGGTTGGGGAGGAACTGTAAATAAAAACATAAGCCACATTATAATGCTTGGTTCAATTCATAAACTTAGTCAAGTGTGTTACTGCATCACATCCTGCCAGACTGTTAGATTTAATTACACAAACACTTTAAAATCTTTTAATTTGTTTGCTTTAACCCTAATATGTTAAACCAAACAGTCATTCAGTTCAATGTGAAACTACAAACCATCAACAGGTCACTGAAAAGGAAAATGTAAACACCACCTGGCTCTTGTTCAATCAAAGCAACGCTGGTAGATGATGATAGCTGGTTCTGATAGTCAAATTACTGGAGCAGAAACTTTAACTGACTAATTCCAAGTTTAGTTTTATAAACTACAAAATACTTAATTAAAACACTTCATTGTAGTAAAGATAAGGCTCCTCATTGTATTTTTTTTTATACAGGTTTAACTGAAACATGTGACAATTAAAAAAACAAGCTTTAAACTTTTAAAGACTCTTCCCCACTAGGGATGGCAGAAACTGACCATGATCAAATTCGAAAATCGGACAGCCCTGGCGAATATTAATCGGTTAGCCGAGCAGCAGTCTGCACTCTGCGCTGCTGGCTTCCTCCAAGTTTACAGTAAAACAAACTGGTGGTGTGACCAATGGCCATTTACAATTATTAATACTATTACTATTATTAGCATTAGTCTATATTTTGGTTGAAACTAAGCCAGGAAAAAAAAGAAAAACATAAATAATAATAAAAATATATATAAATAAAATCGAATTTTAAAAATTATTTTTGATTATGGAGACTAACGAATATTCGAAAAATCGAATAATCGCTGGCATCCCTATTCCCCACACACACGTTTTTTTCATTTCCTGTCCGAGAAAATGCTGTTCACAGCTGACAGTAAAAGAGGTCATTTTTTGGAGATTTGCACTGCAAATAATGCCTTCAATGGGTTAATTTCTGTCTCCTGAGAATCTCTTCCTTTAAATGTTTTTTAAAATGATAAAAAAGGATTGTGACTTTAAACATAATTGTAACAAACCCAATGTATGCGTCACACCTTGGAATCATTATTTACTGATTTACAGACCCATAAAGGTTTGCTTTTTAAAATTAAATCTTATATTAAATTGTTTTTATATAAAATGTTCTTAAAAAATGCTTATACTGAATGCTCTAAACTTAACTCCAAACTGTGTGTTATTATCAGGAAGTAGTTTCTCTTTCAGTCTTACCGTGGCAGACATCATTGATTGTTTTGGTGTCGTTGGTCCAGCTGACATGGTTGCTATGGTTACATATAATCGATCCACTTGATTGGTGGACCTGGAGAAAAGTATCAGGGATCACCTCTGACTGCTCTCCTCCCTCCTGTCTGCAAGTTTGGTTGTCACATGTGAAAGTGCTGTTGATGTGAGAGTCCTGTGAGCTGCAGGTCACAGTGAAGCTACAGGAGGAAGAGTTACTGGAGACAGAGTCCACTGTGAGGAGAGGGAGAGACGCTCGATCTGAGGAGGGAAGAAGCAGGTGAAGAGTTTTAGAAACAAGATCACAGAAACTCTATCAATGTTAGAGAGATTAACAAACCTACCTTGAACTGTGATCTTGTATTTAGCTGCTTCTGTTACGTCTCCTGAAAGCTTTGTCACTACAGCAGTATAAACTCCACTGTCTGCCTCTTGTAGATTCTTCAATTTCACAGAGACATTGTTCACAGCAAGCTCAATCCTTTCAGCATAATCAGGAAATACAATTAGATGTTTAACAGAGTTAACTATTAATACAATTTTGTTCCCATTTTTTTTCCATGAAGAACTAAAAACATCCTGAAGAGCATCAGCATTCGTGACATTCAGATCCACATCCTTTCCCTTCCGCACAAACACAAGAGTCCCAGTGCTGATCTCTGTAAAACAGAAGACACATCATACAGTAAATATCACACACAATATATGGTTATTTGGGCAAAACTGCATATTTCTATATTCCCACTACATTTAATTATAAAATACCTTCATCTTACGATTAATCAAAGGTTGGAACATATTTTTAAACAAAACTTGGTTTAGCTTTAACCCTTAAAGTTGCTTAGAGGCGTTTATCAGGTGAAACTTAGCCAACCTAAATCTCGCTTTTAGAATTTATGTTTCTTTTTCCTGGGTTTTTCATCTACTCTGAAGGTTAAAAGTCTAGTTGCCAGTGTCCTATTGTGAATCTGGAAATGTTGAGAACACCAAAGTGTTAGAAATCATGAATCTATCGATTAGATTTATAATTCGAAAATTATTAGAGTAGGATAGACGTGGAGATTATCCGACTGAACAAAACGTGATCCGTCTCTTAAATGTGTGTCAACCACAGACCTTATTTCAAGCTATTTTCCAAAATCCTATGGAGAAATTGCATTGCTTTTTTGTCGAGGGAACCGGAAGAAGCTTACTTCCGGGTTTTAGGACGCGTCACTGTGGCACTCTATAGAGAGGCGAAGTCCCTCCCTTTCCGGTGGACCTCCATGGGAACTTATTTCGGAAAAATTATGTATTGAAATCAATGGGGAGAGAAAGATTATCTTTCGATCCCGTTTGAATTGTGCCACGAATTACACATATGATGTTTGTCAATTTAAAAGATAATTTTGCAAGTCAAAAAAAAAAAATGTGTCGTAAAACTGTGAAGTAACACATTTGTTTGTGTGAAACCGCTCAATGAACTACATCTCCCGTCTCGCACCACACACCCATCACGTTAGCACATTTCACTTCTTTCTTTCAGAATGAGGCGAAAAGTATTAAAAGAGGTGAAAATCACTCCAAGTCTGGGCATGTTGAGAGCTGTACATACACACAAGGGGAGTTAGTCGGTTCCGTAAGAGCCAGCATGCGGGACCGGGACTCTGGGATTTGTAGTGTTTCTAGTTGCGTATTTTTCATAGTCTTATATTTCAAAAGTTTTACGACAAACGGTGACTTTTTTTACATGGAAATGATTTTTTAAGATTGACAAACATCATATGTGTAATTCATGGCACAATTCAAACGGGATCGAAAGATAATCTTTCTCTCCCCATTGACTTCAATACATACTTTTTCCGAAATAAGGTCCCGTGGGTCGGAAGTAGATGGGCGGGACTTCGCCTCTCTATTCCTTTAGGGCAGTGCTTCTCAAAGTGTGGTACGCCGGACCACTGGTGGTCCGTGAGTATATTGGTAACATTTCACATTTGAAATAAATAAATAAATAAATTTAGGTTTTCCGCACTCTGGCGGGAATATCTCCGCAATGGAGCGAGCTTAAGTTTCACCTTCGATTGCATGATATAGCCCAGCGCAACACCTTCATCACACATGTTGCCACTTGTTTGTACCATTTTCAGGTGATTTGTAATCTGTTCTAGAAAAACGATGTGTTTTTGGATATTTGTGGAGTTAGGTGGTCCGCGAGTGTTTTTTTATTGGTTAAGTGGTCCTTGGTAGTTATGTGTCGGTCGCGAACGAGCCGATTCTTTTGAACGGCTCTTTGGTACGAACGAGGGGAACCGAGTCCTACTTGGTGAGAGCCGTTCTTGTTATCGTTCAATCGTTGGTCCGCACTCACTGTCTGCCAAAATCCACTCGCCTTTTAAAAAGCTTGATTTTGTTCCCCAAACATATTCTGTGAAGACCCGCCCCTACTCTGATTGGTAGGTTTCAGCACGAGGAGTGAGGTGGGGTGGGTCTTAACGGATTACGCGCGAGAGAGAAGTCATAACAAGTGGTACAGGACAGGTAGACGACGTGTTTTTCGGATGGAAAATGAGCCAAACGCGAAAACGCAGCAGCATTTGGATGCACTTCAACCAAAACCCAGGCAGTGATAAAGCGCACCATTTGTAAAGGCAAAATATCCTTTAAAGCAGGGTCAACAAATAATCTCCATCGCCACTTAAAAACACAGTAACTAATATTAAGAGTTGCATGAATTTCATTCAAGGCAAGGCAACTTTATTTACTTAACACATACAGAGGGTAAATTCAAAGTACATTCACTGACATGATGACATGGATATGGCGCCACCTTGTGTCATGTTTACAATGCCGATTATTGACATTGGTCTGGCAATACAGTCAATCATTATCCTGGTGATTATTTTGCAGATAAACCTAGTAACCTTCAAAAAACGGCTCTTTTGAACGGCTCTTTGAAAGGAACGGAGCCATAAGATCCGGCTCCGTTCAAAGAGCCATAATTCCCATCACTAGTCCTTGGTATGAAAAAGTTTGAGAAACACTGCTTTAGGGAGAACACTTCTTGTTTGTGATTGGACAGAGCCGGACAGAGCCAGCCAGAGAAGCACTGCTGTGATTGGTTGTTTTTGCTGCCAGTCAAGAAATGACGCTTCGTGATTGGTCAGCGCGCAACATGTCCCAAAACATCAGCCGTTAGCTGTTAGCACACACTCAGAGCTCACAGCTCCTCATGTCTGTTCAGAAACTGGACAAAAGTTAAACATGTACAAACCACAGACTGTCTATGTCATGGCGAATACAGTCGCTGCTTTATTTATGTCTGTATGACGTTGTTGTGAGTGTGGACGGAGCAGCTACAGGTTAGTTTAGCCTGATCGATCCGATCTCAGAAAACACACATTTTAAAAGGTTTTTCGCCTGCCGTCTTGCCTGCAGACTTGTCAAAGCATTAATTCATGGTTTTTACTAACCGGTATCAGTATGTTTTTACTTCGGCATCATTTTGAAACGTGTATTACAATTAAATCACGGTAAAATATGTTCCGCTGATTTACAGACGTCTCTTTCCCCATGTTAGTCTTGGGGAAAAGTCTTTCTGGGAGTCCGGTGCACTTCCTGGGGGCTTGCGCCTCTGAGTTTTTATCTGCTTTTAAGCTATAGTTACATGGCTAAACTTTTAGTCTGCTTTTTAAGTGTTTTTGGCTGTCGGTACTCACCTGCAGCATCGACCATATTCGCCTACGATCTCCGGCTGACTGCTTGGTTGCGTTCGAATACTCCAAAAAAACAGCTCCTAAATTCTAACCCTATCGTCTATTCCTTGACCTCGGAGTGAAACGTCATGGGGTTAAGGGATAGTGGATAGGAGAATTCAAAAGGATTTAGGAGAAGAGACTGCGGCACTTTAGAGAATCCGACTGCACTTTCACTATCCGACGTGTTTATGATGCGCCAGCGGAGGTCATAAATGTGCGCCTGCTGCTGTGGGGAAACTATGGAAACTACAGTTTTCTATACAGCGGACTACAACATGGATGTTTAATAAGAACGAGGGACTACTGTAAACTCATCTAGAGACTCTGCACCGTGCTCTGATGCTGTTGTTTTATGCTTTATGAACAGGGACAACAGAGAAACATATTCTTCATGACCAAAGTTGGAATTGAAATAAAAAAGGAAAGTGAAACTTATGCTCGTCACCCTCTCCCTCCGGTCCACATTAATACAAATGATCCCAATACGTATGATTGTATGAAAAGATCTTAAAATCAATACAAATGTATTTATTATAAACGTTAGTCCTTAACATCTATCACTGTGTATATCACCATTCAAACATCTTTTAAAAGTTGAACAAACCCCACACAGCTCAGTAAAGACTGTGAAATGTTGACTTTATTTGATCATTTCAGTAAAAACTAACGTTCATATTTCTCTTTTTGATTATAATACTGATGAACGTTCAAAACAAAGCACTTTGGCAACTTACCACATACGTTTTAAATTGCTTAATAAGCACCGTAACTTTATACCGATATCATTTCTCGTTCATAATCGGTTGTTTCCGTGAACGGCCGACTGTTGTGTGACGGCAAATGCTGCGGCCGCAAGGCATTGTGGGGCAGCATTTTCTCCTCTCCTTTCGGTTAGGGAGGTCCAGTGGTTCCTAGGCTAAAGGAGGTTATAAAGGAAGTTTGAAACCTCCTTTCCTTTTAATTTAGAGAATTCGAACGGCACTTATCATGGCTGCCACTGAGGGACTTCCGGGTCATTTCACTCCGTTAGGAAGGTTCCTAAGCTAAATGGACTATTCGAATGCAACCCTTGCCTCTCTTCTTCTTCTTCACTTCGTTCTTGGCGGATTGCAAACAACTTAAAAGGTGCATACCGCCACCTACTGTACATACCAACTCTTTAACCTATGATCTAATAAAAATAAATAAATAAATCAACAAAAAACATGAAATAAATAAAACAAAAATAAAAATCTATGTTCTTTCCTGACCTAATGTTAAATTATTTTTCCTACCCCAGTTTCACTCAAGAATATAAACAGTGCCTTTCTGGTAGCTCTTACTCCCTCTCCGTTTGTTCCCAAAACACCAACCACACTCCATTCCCTCTCTGCCTCTAAAACTTTAGCCTTTAGTTTTTCTCTTTCCGCTTTATAGATGTCACAATGCAACAAGATTATGTTCTACATCTTCTCTTACTCCACAGTTCCCACACTTGTCACTATCACTTTTCCCCATGATATACAGCGTACCATTCAAAGCCGTGTGATTTATTCTGAGTCTAGCGATCGTGATTTCCTCCCTTCTGTTTCTTTCTTTATAAATATGAATTGTAATTGTCTTTTGTACTTTGTGATAGTCTTTGCCTTTCTGGTCTTTCTCCCACCTTTTCTGCCAGATCTCCATCCCTTTTTTCTTAATTACTGCTTTTCCTTCTCCTTTACCAAGTTGAACTGGTAATGTGATTTCCTTTTGTAGTGCACTTTTTGCTAATTTATCAGCACACTCGTTCCCTTTCACCCCCCCATGTGCAGGCACCCAGCAGAACTGCAGATCTATACCGCCTCTGTGAAGTCTTAACAGGCTATGATTCAGTTCTATGAGAATGTTTTCTCTGGCAGTTGTTGTTGATTGTATGCTTTGTAATATGGACAATGAATCTGTGCACATCACCACCCTATCTGGTCTGACCTCTTCAACCCACTGTAATCCTATTATTACAGCAAGCATTTCTGCTGTGTACACTGATAATTGATCAGACGCTCTTTTTGAAATAGATATTTTAAATTCTGGGATGTATATACCAACTCCAACACACTCTTCTTTGTTCTTAGAACCATCTGTGTAAATTTGTAGGTAATTGTAGTACTTTTCATTCAGATACATACTTGTTTTAATTCCCACTTCATTTATTTGCCACTCTTTTTTCCTTTCTACAATACTCATATCTATTTTAGCTTCTGGGAAAAGCCATGGGGGAACACTACTAAATGGGGTTGCTTTGGCAAACGTGATATTCTCCACTCCATATGCCCTCGTTCTTTCCTTATTTGTCCAGCCAAACCCACGTCCCTGGAATTTTGCATATTCCCAGCAATCCTGTAATATTCTGTTTGAAATATTTTCTTCTCCACTTCCTTGTAGTCTGACCCAGTATGACAGAGCAAGTTTCTCTCTTCTGATCTCCAGAGGTGTCTCTCCTGCTTCTATCAGAACTGCATTGATAGGGGATGACTTTATCGCTCCAATACACAACCGCAATGCTTTATATTGTATTCTATCAATTTTTAAAAGCGATGTTTTTGCTGCTGCTCCATACACTATACAACCATAATCTATTGTGGACCTCATAATTGATCTGTAAATGTCTATTAATGCTTGTTTGTCTGCGCCCCAGTTGCATCCAGCTACAGCTCGCAATAAATGTAATACTTTTTTGCATTTTGTTTCCACTTGATTAATATGCATTTTCCATGTATATTTGCTATCAAACCACAGTCCTAGGTATTTGAACTCATTCACCTTTGTCATTGGACGATCATATAGTGTTAGCTGTTGGCCATCAATCTTGCGTTTGTTTGTGAATACCATGTAGCATGACTTGCTTTCTGACATTTTGAATCCCCAGTTATATGACCACCTCTCCACTTTTTTAATCGCTCTAGCTATATTCTCCATTACGTATGGGGCATTTCTTCCCCTCATCCAAATAGCCCCATCATCTGCGTATAGAGCCGATTGAATGCATGTGTCTAAACATGTAAATATATCATTAATCATGATGTTAAATAATATTGGACTGACTGCACTCCCTTGGGGAATACCATTTTCTATTTCATATTAATTGGAAATATCTGCTCCAACCTTTACTCTAAATGTCCTGTCTGTTAAAAAGGCCCTTACCCAATTGTACATTCTCCCTCCAATACCCATTCTACTCAATTTGATCAGTAACCCATCCCTCCACATACAGTCATACGCCTTTTCAATGTCAAAGTACACTATTGCCATTATCTCTTTCATTTTCAATGTTTTTTCCACATCATTACTCACTCTTACTAAAGCATCTATTGTGGACCGCCCTTTACGAAATCCGCTCTGAAAACTACTCAGCAGCCCTTTCTGCTCCAGTGCATGTGAGAGCCTACGGACAATGATCTTTTCCATCCATTTACATAGGTGTGATGTAAGAGCTATTGGTCTGTAGTTACTAGGGTTAGCTGTATCTTTCCCTGGCTTATTGAATGGTAGCACGACTGCTGTTTTCCACAAACTTGGCATATCTCCTTCTCTCCAGATTTTATTGAAAGGACTCAGCACCATTGTCATAGTTTCCATAGGTAACTGTCTAAACATAGCATAACATAGCTGGTCTTGTCCTGGGGCTGTATATCCTGTACCTTGTAAGGCTGTTTTGAATTCTGACATTGTAAATTCCACATCAAGAGCTGACCTATTATCCTGTCTCTTCTCCTTCACGTTTTCATTCTCTGCTAGTAACTGCTGTTTTTGCTGCCTATGAATATCACTGAGATGTTCCCCACTATGTACTGCTGCAAGTGTCCTTCCTAACATGTCTGCCTTCTCTTTATCTGTCACTGCCATCCTCTCCCCATCAACCAAAGCTGGAATTTTAATGGATTTCCTTTTCCCACTCATCCGCTTAAACATGGACCAGACATCACCTAATTTTACTCCTCTGCCAATGGTAGAACAAAATTCTCTCCATGTTCTTTTTTTTGTATATTTTATTGTCCTTCGAGCAGCTGCCCTTTTCCTTTGAAACTCTATAACATTATTTTGTGTCATGTTTTTCTTTAATTCTCTAAATGCATTATTTCGCTCTTTAATAGCCCTGCTGCATTCCTCATTCCACCATGGCACCACTTTCTTCCTACCCTTGGTTGTTGTTTTGGGTATACTGTTCTCTGCTGCATTTAGAATATGTTGCGTTATTTGGCTTGTAATTACCTCTATGCTTCCCTCTGATATTAGCAGGTGTACCGACTCCTCACACCATATCCTACATTTCCCCCAATCAGCTTTAGCAAAGCACCACCTGGTTATTACACCTCCTTCCTGCATATATACATTAGTATTCATTTTAGTAAGCACTTGATAATGGTCACTTCCTACTGTGGAGTTATTCAAAACAAACCATTCGCATGTATGAACCAAACAGTTTGACACTAATGTCAGATCCAGGCATGAGACTTTCCCCCTGTGTACATCTACTCTTGTGCCATGTCCATCATTAAGGCATACTAGTGTTCTTTCCTCCAGCATTTCTTCCACTATATTTTTGTTACTGTCTGTATGGTCGCTGCCCCATAGACTGTTGTGTGCATTGAAATCACCACACCAAACTTCCTTCCTATGTTTATTGCCTGCTATTTCTTTAAATATATCAGTGGTTAGATTTTTACATGGGTTGTATAAATTGATTATCCTAATGTTATCTTGTTTCCTAGGGTTGCAGATTTCCACTATAATACACTCTATATCATCAGGAGATTGCACCTCCCTATATGCCACACCATCTTTGAGAAACGTGGCACACCCTCCACCATTTTGATTATTATCTCTATCATGCCTTATACAGCTAAATCCTGGAATGACAAAGTCTAATTGAGGTCTTAACCAGGTTTCTTGCACACATATTACCTCAGGGACTACCTCTAGATCATATATATATTTCTTGAATTCTTGACCATTAGCTGAGGCTTCTTGCGTTCCACCGTAGTATGTGCAGCACCATGATTAAGGATCTAACCCTCATCCTGATTTTCATTTTCCCCAGCTCCATTTATAGTTAGCATTGCATGTATCTGATCTGCTTTAATATCTTTCATGTCAAGGAATTTTCCAGCTGCCTCCACAATGGCTTTGATTCTATCACTTTTC